GGGGTGGGGGTGACCTCTGTGACTCCCTGTGTCAATGAATTATTACTGTTACAAATCGCCCTTGGAGAGTAGCTTCCAGCAAGAAGGATGATTTTCCTGAACTGGTATTGGGCTCCTCTGCTGGGTGTGCCTGGGCTCCACCTGTGGCTGCATTCAGCTGAGCTCAGTTGGGCTGAGGGACTGGCATGGCCGCCTGCTAAACCTCTGCTCTCTGGCAAGGGGTGCTAGCTCTTGGCTGGGAGGACTCCTTGTGGCCACTCATCCTTGGTCTGCCTTCCTTACACGAATTCCCAGGACAATGTTACCACCCGGGGGGAGGGACTAGGGATCGAATCCAGGGATCCTGCAGGCGAAGCAAAAAAACAAAATGAAGTTCCATGAGGGCAGGGACCTGTGCCATTTAGTGAGTTCGCTGTTGTAACCCCTGCACCAAGCACAGCATCTGGCATATAGTAGGTGCTCAATGAGGATCTGCTGCAGGAATGACTGGATGATTTTACTACCACACTGCACAAAGGTGAATATGGTGTGACTCCTGCCTGCTAGGAGCTCTGGCTTCTAGGACCAGCTCTTGCCCTTTGGTTGGTTCAGAACATCTATGCCGGTGCAGATGTTCTACACTAAAAAATGGTACAGATAAATTTAGAAGTCAGACCACATACTTATGGTTGCTTACTCCTGGGAGAAAGACAAAGTCCGGCTCCTAGGCCTATCCAGCTAGGAAGTCACTCCACACGAAGCAACCACAGTGTGGCCCAGGGTTGATGGTGACTCAAAGTAGGGGCTCAGAGGAAGGGATTCCAGAATTGCTACTTTTAGCACTTTTTTTTTTAATTAAAAAAAATTTAAGGGAAGCTATAGGTTCAACAACAAAATGCAGCAGAAAGCAGAGAATTTCCATATAACCCCTGTGCCCTGAATCCCTCCCAGCCTCCCCTACCAGAACTGTACTAGCAGTTGTAACAACTGCTGAGCCTATATTATTATCCAAAGTCCATATTTTGGGTCTTTTTTTCAAATATTTTTTAGCTTTAGTTTATGTGATGCTGGAGATCAAACCCAGTGCCTTAGGTGTGCTAGGAAAACGCCCACTGGGCCACAACCCAGCCCCTAAAGTCCATAGTTTATTGTCGCGAGCAACCCAGGGCTGTGTGTGTAAGCTGTGAGCATTTGAGCCTGTGAGGGGACTGGTCTGGCGTTGTGCGCCAATTGGGCTGTGTGACACAAATGTATCCCCTCACTCTACCCATGATCCCACACAGCACCTGAGATGGGTGTGACTTGCCAAGATGTCAATCTGCTGACTACAAGGCGTCACCAAGCAAGACTCCACCTTTCAAAACCCTGCTCCTTGCCTTATGGGTGGAATATTCTATCGAGTGTCTTCTCCCCAGTAAATGGGGGGGGGGGGTTCAAGTGTGGTCGCTCTCTTGCTCTTTCCAGCGCTGCCCAGCCTGGAGCTGATCCTTGGTCTCTGAGCCACCCTGCCTTCATTCTTAGAATCTCATGTTCGTGTGCTGCGTGGTTTCTTCGCCGTTTTCTTATTGATGCAGCCAGCTCCTTTGAACCCAGGGCATCTCGCCAGCCCGGCCAGCTGGCGACAGTTTTTCCCTAGGACTCACCGTTGGTGACATACATTCTACAGTGGACTTGAATCCACCTCTGCAGGAATAGTCTAGTTTCACTGCCCTAAAAATCCTCCTTGCTCAGCCTATTCATCCTTCCCTTAACTCCTGGCAACTGCTGATCTTTTTCCTGCCTTCATAGTTTTGCTTTTTCTAGAAGGTTCCATGGGTGGAATTATACAATAGGTAGCCTTTTCCAATTGGCTTCTGTTTTGTGCTATTACAACAGAATATCACATACTGGGTACCTTTTAAATAAGCAGAAATTTACTGACTTGTGGTTCTAGAAGCTGGGAAGCCCAAGATCAAGGGGCCGGCATCTGGCAAGAGCCTTCTTGCTGGGCCATCTCATGGAAGAAGGGCAAAGAGAAGGTGAGAAGGAGCCAAGTTCTTGTAAGAAACATGAAGTACAGCATTAATCCATGCACAAGGCCGGTGCCCCGTGACAAACTCCTCCTATTAGACCCCACCTCTCAAACCTCTGCACTGGGGATAGTCCCTACGTGAACTGTGGGGACATGATCAAACCATTTCACTTTGTAATACACATTTAAGGTGGTTCTGTGTGTTTTCATGGCTTGGTAGTTCATATCTTTATTTACTTTAGATTTACTATTTCACAGCAGTTTTGGGTGTGCAGCAAAATTGAGCACAAATTGGAGAATCTCCGCATGCTCTTTGCCCTTGTGCATGCTCTGCCTTTCCTCCATCAAGGTGCTGCATCTGCTACACAGCAAATGAAAAGATGCACTTTGAAGGAATGGGTATCTCACAACAGTGAGTGAGGAAAATCGGGATACCAGGAAACACTACAAATGCAAAAATGAGTCTGATTTTTTTCCTAGCTGTATTTTATTTATATATATAAATTACTGCATCAAATTCATCATACTGATTTTATATATAAAAATGTGTGATACTAGGGATTGAATCCAGGGGTACTCTACCACTGTTATTTCCCCAATTTTATTTTTAAAGCATTCTTTTAAAAAAAACTTTTATTTTTATGTGGTGCTGAGGATAGAACCCAGTGGCTCCACCACTGAACCACAATCCCAGCTGCCCCCACTTTAAATTTTTTAAATTATTTTTTTGGTACCAGGGATTGAATTTGGGGGCACTCGACCACTGAGCCACATCCCCAGCCCTATTTTGTATTTTGAGACGGGGTCTCGCTGAGTTGCTCAGTGCCTCACCGTCGCTGAGGCTGGCTTTGAACTCAAGATCCTCCTGCCTCAGCCTTCTGAGCTGCTGGGATTACAGACATTTGCCACTTCACTCGGCCCCACTTTTATATAAATCGTCCAGGCTGACCTCAAACTTAAGATCCTCCTGCCTTAACTCCTGAGCCTCTGGAATCATATGTGTGTGCCACTGGGTCCAGCTAAAAACTATTTTATGTGCCACTAAAGAAAAAATTTGCCACTTAACTACAAGGCTCTATCAGTTGTCATCCTGATTTCTAATTTGTGAAAATATGCAAAGACCACCACACCTCAGAATAAGTGAATAACACCGTTCTCTACATCTGCTTATCTCTAGTCATCTGATTTTGGTTTCTTTGAATTCTCTTGATGCCTTTTAAAAGCTTTTCTGTTTCTTCAAGTGATGCTGGGAAAACTGGATATCCGGATGAAAAAAAGAAATTGAATCCTTATATCATGTTCGAAAATTAAAATAGATTAAAGAACTAACCATAAGATATATAACTATAAAACCCCTAAAAATGCTGGAAACAGTGGTGCACACCTGTAATTCCAGTGGCTCGGAAGGCTGAGGCAGGAGGATCTCGAGTTCAAAGCCACCCTCAGCAACAGGGAGGTACTAAGCAACTCGGTGAGGCCCTGTCTCTGAATAAAATACAAAATAGGCCTGGGGATGTGGCTCAGTGGTCGAGTGCCCCTGAGTTCAATCCCTGGTACCCCCCGCAAAAAAACTCCCCAAAACTCTAAAAGAAATCAGAATGGGAAAGTTTCATGGTATTGAAATGTGGTAATATTTCTGGATATGGTACCAAAAGCAAGAATGGACAAACAGGACCACATCAGACTTAATAACTGAACAGCAGAGCTGAGCATGGTGTTGCACACCTGTAATCTCAGCAACTCTGGAAGCTAAGGCAGGAGGATCATAAGCTTGAGGTCAGTCTGAGCAATTTAGCCAGATTTTCTCAAAACAATTTTTAAAAAGGTCTGGGGGCGTGTAGCTCTGTGATGAGCATTTGCCTAGCATGAGCTAAGCCACGGGTTCGAAACTGGTAAAACAAAATAAAACAAACTGCACAGCAAAGGAAAGAACAGACTAAATATTTCCCTATTCCATAGGTTGCCTTTCAAATATTGTATCTGATAAGGAACTAATGTACAGAATATATTTTTTTAAACTATAAACCCCAAATAACTTTTATTTTAAATTTTTAAAAATATTTTAGTTTACGGCGGACACAACATCTTTACTGGTATGTGGTGCTGAGAATCGAACCTGGGCGCCACACACATGCCAGGCAAGTGCACTACCGCTTGAGCCACATCCCCAGCCCAATAATGCCATGTTAAAAATGGATAAAACCACTGAGATTATCTCCCATCCACTAGAATGACCACTACCAAAAAAAGACATGAATAAACTGGAACTCTTGTGCCCTACTGTTGAGAATGTAAAACAGTGTAGCCATATGGCAAGTAGTGTGGAGATTCCTTTAAAAAACCAGACCTACCATATGATCCAATAGTCCTTTTGGGTATATATTCAAAAGAACTGGAAATGGACCTTGAATATGTTTGTATACTGCTGTGATTGAAGCATTCACAATAGCTAAGAAGAAGAATCTGTCTGCCAACTAATGAATGGGTAAAGCAAACATGGTATATAGTCATAGTATATGCCTGTAAATCAGCAACTCGGGAGGCTGAGGCAGGAGGATGGCAAGTTTGAGGTCAGTCTCGGCATTTTAGAGACACCCTGTCTCAAAACAAAAGGCTGGGGATGTGGCTCAGTGGTAAAAGCATCCTGGGTTTAATTTCAGTACAAAAAAAAAATGGTATATACAAATAATAGAAAACTATGCACCCTTGCAAAGGAAGGAAATCCTGCCATATGCTACAACAGAATGAAAACTGTCTACATTATGCTAAATAAAACAAGCCAGTAAGAAAAAGAAAATACTGTATGATTCCACTCAGATGAGATATCTTAAGTCCACTCTTTAGAATGGTGGTTGTCAGGGATTGGGGTAGGGAAGAAAAGGGGAATGGCCATTCAGTGTGTCGGGTTTCATTGTGCAAGATTAAAAAGTTGAGATGTGCATATGGTTAACACCATGTACACTTAAAAGGGTTAAAATTATGCAGTTTGTTTTAACTACACACACAAAACTCAAGTTTCTCTAAATCTCTACGATTCACATTTTTAAAAAGTTCTACCCATAAGTAAGGATGAATTCGGCAGTGGTGATGGCAAAGTGGCCAACAGCGTGACTGGCCTGTGGGAGCTCCCTCCGGCAGGCTCTGGTGTATAGGAGGACTGGGTGACCCCTCCTTGTCCCCAGTGAGCATCAGAGCCCAGAAAGGAGAACTTCTCTTCTCCCTCGCCTCTTTCTGGGAGCAGATACTATGTTCACAGACCAACCAAGGACAGAGGAATCCAATTTCATCTAAAAAATAATAATAAATTTAAGATCCAGCAAATAAAAGACTCGCCAAAGTGTGCAGTAGCACAAGCACTGTGCTCCCAACCCCCTTACCTGTCATATAACAAACTAAACCTTACCTAATAAAAGCCCGTTTGCCCCACCCCCACCCCGAGTCCCAGTCTCCCTGTCCCCTTATTTTTCTCAGCTTTACCAACGTCGTGTGTCGTATCTTTGCAACTGGTACATTTTATCCCACGTCTTGCTTTTACTAATCCCAGGTGCTTGTGAGCTCTGTGCTTAAGGTCAGCCCTTTGCATCTGGGTGCCTCTCTTGGATGAGACCTGCAGTCCGTAGTATTGCAAGCTGATCCCTTCATTCAGGTGGCCTGCGAGCGTTCCCTCTTACCGCAACTTCTGCAGAAACGTGCCCGGGCCTCTCCTCGAATGCCCAAAGCGCTTCCTCCAGGCGAGGCCGTCCTGCCTCGGCGGAGATGTACTCGGTCTTCTCCGCACTGAGAATACTGCGGGGTTGGATGGGGAGGTGTTGGCTGTCCCCAGGCAGCCACTGGCTGCTGGCTTGGGGAGAGAAAGTCACCTCCCGTCGCCCCGGAGCTTGGCCCCTATCCCTCGGGACTCTCTGCTTTGTTCTCAGAGCGCCCACCCAAGTTTTTCTCCCACACTTGCGCGCCGGCCACCTTGGAGTCTACCACTGGCCTCTTGCTTGCTGCAGGTGCACTGTGCCCTGGGGAGGACTGGGGACAGGGGACACGCTGGGGTTCGGGTTGGCAGGGTTGGAGAGGACGGATCCGCGCTCGGATCGCTAGCCCCGGTGGCCGGCAGCCTGGAGGGCGGAGCGAGGTGAAACGGCCTGCGCCGCCCTCCGCGCCTGCGCCACCTCCCCTCCACTGAGAGCTTGCACTGCTCGCTTGGCTGTCAGGCGCGGTGGCCAAGTGGTAAGGCGTCGGTCTCGTAAACCGAAGATCGCGGGTTCGAACCCCGTCCGTGCCTGGGTTGGAAGTGGGCCCTGTTGTTAGGGCCTCCTTTTGATCCTCTGTGTGGCATTTTTTTTCCCTTTTGGATTCTGCTCGGGAGTCCTCTGGTCCCTCCTCCAGTTTGCTTCTGAACAGACTAGTTACGCCGCAGGCCAGGCAGCTCTCCCCCCAGCTGCGCTGCTCCAGTAGGCGATCGTCTTCACAGCCTCCCCTGCGCCGCCGTGGGCGTGGTGTGGCCGGCCGGTTCTTGTATTTTTTGTGGGGGCGCCGGAGTTCCGAGAGCTGCGGCCTCGGTTTTGCGGTTTCCTTCCAAGGCGAGTTGCACGGGCCGTGCGCGCCGCCTGCTGCCAGGCTGCGGAGGTATCTGCGAGGTTCGGCCGGTGGGTGCCTAGACCTTTCTCAGCACGAGTGACAGCACGAGTGAGCTGACCCTTGGAACCCAACTGGTTTTGATACTCCCCGAGTCATTTGTAGAATAAACAGCCCTTCTAACATGACATGATGTTGATGTACCTGTGACTCCAACACTGTCTGATACACTCCAGTCTGTCCCCTCTTCTAACACTCGGCATCGAACGTCTCGTGAATAGAACTTCACCTCATTCTACATCCCATTTGCCAACTAAAGTCACCGAAAAATAAAAAGCACATTACTTTTCCCGAGGCCTGTTGCACAACTGATCATGGAGAGCTTCAG